ACATACAATGGTGAATCGTGCTATTCTTATACCTACAAATGAATGTGTTGACTCTATTAATGACTTTTGCTTAAACAAATTCCTGATCAAAGTTTCTCATACTATAGTTTTGATGAAGTAATGGAGAAATCAGAACAAAGCCTACAAAAAGACTTCTTGAATACCTTAACACTAAATGGTATTCTACCTCATGATTTGAAACTTAAGGTGAATTATCCTGTAATGTTATTACGGAATATCAATTCTTCCGAGGGGTTATGCAATGGAACACGCATTACTTGTCGAAAATTTGAGAGAGCTGTTATTCTTGCTGAAATCATAACTGGTGAATATCGTGGAAAACAAGTTTTCTTACCTAGGATCCCTTTTATACCTCTTAAAACTGATTGAACTACAATTCCACTTAAAAGAACTCAATTCCCAATTAGATCGTGCTTTGCAATGACAATAAATAAAGCTCAGGGTCAAACACTTGATTTCGTAGATTTGTATATTCCAGAATAAGTTTTTTGCCATGATCAGTTATATGTAGTATTATCGAGAGCAAAACCAAGCAGATCTATAAAAGTTCTACTGAAACCGTCAAACACAAATCATACGCACAACTCATGTATTAAAAATGTTATGTACAAAGAAGTTCTTTCGTTTGAATATGCATAGAACTGCAACTTCCTCATAAGTATATGTTCAATTTATTGCAATTTTTCTCTTTGTCTATGACTTCCCCGATGGCTGTACTAAATGAAATGCTAATTTTTTCAACTACAATGCAAATATTAGATTACTTTAACTGAGTTTTTTCCACTATCATTTTATGAAATTTAACATTTCATTCAGTTCAAAGTCGAAATTATGATTGTACATTTGTTTTACTGATTTTCATACTTTGCATATTGCAACGACTATCAGTGAGAATGTAGACGAGACGAGATAGTATATCTTCTGTTGCTTGTTCTAAACATCAGGTAAGCTTCCATTGTTCTGACTTTGCCAAACTTTAATTCGATCTTACAGATTTTATTTAAATTCATAATAGTTAAATCTTTATGAAAAAAGAATCCACCTAAGTATCGTTATGAAATTTTATTTGTCTTCAATCCTGTAATATCAATTGCTGATGTGGATTTCTTAAATGCAACGACTGAAGTAAATGTTTCAACTATAAGCAGTTGTGTGAAGAATTCAACTCAAATTAATATTAGTTCAAACACAACAAACCCAAAAGGCAAACACGAGATGCAAAACACAAATGCTCATCTATCCACAAACATGAAAGAAATCGCTACGCCTTCTGCAAAAAGATCTCTCTTCCAAACAGCAGCTGAAAACACTGAAACAGAGTTGAAGGCTATCAAAAAGATCTTCTATACAATTCTTTAGTGTCTTCTATATATATGTTGTGTACATTCCAAGTTAGAGCCAAAAATTTGAAAATTTTGTGTCCTTGTACTTCAATTCTTGCTATTTTTGAGGATTTCTTTGTGTATGCATAGAACTTTTATTAGATGGAATAATGTCACTCTTACTGCCCTAATTACAACTTGCAAAGAGGCGTCGAAAATATTTTGCTAAGGGACATATGTGTAATTCGTTATTGGTGATAGCAACAACATATATTAGTTGAAGACAAATCTGCTTTCAGATTTTTATTTTATTTTTTATTTTATTATAGTTTTATGTTGGATATTGATTTGTTATATTGGAATGAATGTTCAATAATTTTGTGATGGACATTATGTTTAAGTTAAGATAAGAAATGGTAAAGTATTCTTCATTTGTGCAGAATTAAAAGTTATTTAAATGTGGATAGAATATATACGTACATGAAAAAAGTAAATGAAATGAGATTGAGTAATAACAAATTAGATTAAATAAAAATTGTAGGAAAACATTATCACTACATCCAAGAATAACTAAAACCTAAAACAAGTTAAAATTAAAAGTCTTATAGTCGTGTCAAACTTCCATCTACGTGATTTTTTTGTAGATCAAAAACTTCAGAGGTTCGTTATCCAGTAGTTCAAATACGCATATATCACCTATTTGTAGTTCATTTAAGGAATGAAAATGTGCCAAGCCTATAGTAAGACAGCATATTATACCATTTGGCCTTAAATTTGTGGTGATATCCCAATTTTAGTGTAAAGAGTCATGGATTTAACACTGTGCATGAATTTTGACAAATGCTGCCTGACAAATCTTTTAGATATATACTGCAAAATCATCAACGAATTATCAGTTGAGGTCATAATTATAGGCTGAGCACGAATATAGAACAAAATGTTCAAAAATAAACATTACAATTTTCCGATGACTGTGTTGACGTGGTGTTAACTTTACTTCGAATATGGGATTATCTGTATTTGAATTGTTGCTTTCTTCACCTTCTTCAGGAACGTCTAAATCATATTTCACTTCTAACCTAAAATCGTCAATTATGGTCATGTTGAATGTGGAATTTTCGGTATACTCAAATATTAGGCGATAACCATCCTATAAATTGTTATGGTCGAAAAATTACTCCCATCTGTCAGTTAAATATATTGTCCCATTAACTTTTTTAATCTGATGGTTGCAATTATACCATCTTATGCAATTACGTGTACTGTATCACCAAATTCATGTCTCCAGTCTTTCGCAAAAGATCTAAGAATCATATATATATATAAGAAATATATAAGTACAATATTAGTAAAAATTAATTAAAATACAAAAAAAGACATTATTGTAAGACTAACTATATATATATATATATATATATATATATATAAGTAAGTTTTTATAACATTATAGCAAAAAAATAATAAATTGTGTGCATCTATAGATTTTTAGATAAAAGTCAGTCAATCATCGAACAAGTTGTAACTTAAAACTACAAAATTCAGTTTTGAGAGAGTAAATAGATAAAGATCTGTTTGAGTGAAGTACCAGTCTCAATTAAGATATTGAAATTTTGAATGCGAAAAATTCTTGTAAGTAAATATTGAAAACACAGGAAACTATATAGGCTAAACAAAATCTACTTTTCTTTCTTATTTATATTTGATAAGAGGTTCACGGATAGTGAAAATAGACAAATTATTACTGAAACAGGTTTACGGATTCCAAAACTAGACAAATTATTACTGAAAATAACTGATATCGCTCTTTCCAAAACACAAGTATCACAGAAAAATGAAATTATTGAAGAACATAACCACCTACTTAATGTAATGTGTTTCTATAAATTATTTTGTTGTATATAAAAAAAAGTTGTATTTGTGATAAGTTCAATTTTGTCTATAAACCGTATATAACATTTTTTCTTATTTAAGGAACAAGAAAATTGAAAGTTACTTATATGTAAAAAAAACAATTCAAGTTACTTAAAAGTAATAAAAAATTTATAATTGTAAAAGCTACTTATATGTAAAAAAAATATTAATCCCTCATTCTTTTATAATTGCAAAAGCTACTTATAAATAAAAAAATATTAATTTAAAATTTTTTAATTATAAATATTTAGATATATTTAATTTTTTAAATTAAATATTAATAAAAAAGATTACACTAACTAAAATGTAAAAATTTACTTATAAGTAAATAATCACTTCAAGTTATTTAAAAGAAATAAAAAAAACTTATAATTGTACAAGCTACTTATAGTTAAAAAAAATATTAAATTCAACATTTTTACGTATATATTTAGATATATTTAATTTTTTTAAAATTAAATATTAATAAAAAAGATTACACTAACTAAAATGTAAAAATTTACTTATAAGTAATTTTTACATTCTAGATAGTGTAATATTTTTATGAATATTTAATTTAAAAAATTAAATATATCTAAATATATACGTAAAAATGTTGAATTTAATATTTTTTTTACATATAAGTAGCTTTTACAATTATAAATTTTTTATTACTTTTAAATAACTTGAAGTGATTATTTACTTATAAGTAATTTTTACATTCTAGATAGTGTAATATTTTTATGAATATTTAATTTAAAAAATTAAATATATCTAAATATATACGTAAAAATGTTGAATTTAATATTTTTTTTACATATAAGTAGCTTTTACAATTATAAATTTTTTATTACTTTTAAATAACTTGAAGTGATTATTTACTTATAAGTAAAAAAAGCACTTCAAGTTATTTAAAAGTAATAAAAAATTTATAATTGTAAAAGCTACTTATATGTAAAAAAAATATTAAATTCAACATTTTTACGTATATATTTAGATATATTTAATTTTTTTAAAATTAAATATTAATAAAAAATAACTATATATATAGTAACTCCTAGCATGGAGTGGTTATCACTCTGTGTTACTCTGTACATGGAATGGTACATTCACTCCGAGCATGACCACTTCATGGAAGCTTAACACTCCATGTATATTTAAAATACGAGAACATCATTTTAATGTAACTTTTCATGGAAGCTATTTATAGGACTCTTGTTCAAATAATTGCAAAAATAGAAATTAAAAATTTTTAAATATTTTTGCAAATGACTATATTAAAATGCATATTTTTTGTAATTTCCTCTGTGTAAATTCATGTAAATTAAATTGTAAAAAAGATTTTCAGTGCAAGATATTTTCTGGAAAAATCAAAACAACATAAAATGAATACTCAGAGTCAACATGGGAAGTGACAATGACACAATTGTTAACATCCAGATTTATGCTCGGTGTACAGAGGATTAAGTGTACAGAATGTGTACAGACTCTCACAAGTGAATGGACCCCACATGAATATTTTATTGTCAAAAAATCTTGATGTGTGTATTCTGTACACATTCTGTATACTTAATCTTCTGTACGTGTAGAATGACTCTAACATCCATTTAACGGTGACGTATGACTGTCCTCGAACGGATATCAAGAAACAAGAATGCTCTCCCCACAGCCCAACTACGTTCCTTCACTTCTGCCCAGCCAATTGCTACCCGTACTAAAACATGTTTGGCTACCTTAAAGATTTTACTTATAAGTAAATTTCACTTTTTTTTTATGTGTAGCGAAACACAGGACACGAGCTCCATTTTCTGATTTGAAGAAGCTCCCCCCCGCTCCCCCTCTCTTGCTCTACGAGCATCAAATATCAATGGCCACTGGTTTGCTCCGGCGAGTGATAATTAGAGTTCCGGCGACGGTGCAGGGGGCGAGAATAAGCCTGAACCGGGCACACGCGTCGGAAGCCTCGGTCCAGCAGGAGGAGCCTCAGGCGAAGCATACCAGCAACCCGAAAACCTTCCAAATTTACCGGTGGACCCCGGACAACCCGCAGAAGCCTGAGCTGCAGAATTTCGAGATTGATCTCAAGGAGTGCGGCCCTATGGTTTTGGACGCCCTAATCAAGATCAAGAACGAGATCGACCCGACCCTGACCTTCCGCCGCTCCTGTCGTGAGGGAATCTGCGGTTCGTGCGCTATGAACATCGACGGTAGAAATGGGCTTGCTTGCTTGACCAAGATCCCATCTGGGCCGTCAACTATGATTAACCCCCTGCCACACATGTTTGTGATTAAGGATCTTGTGGTTGATATGACCAATTTTTACAACCAGTATAAGTCGATTGAACCGTGGCTGAAGAGGAAGAGTCCACCGGAGACGCCAGGGAAGGAGATTTTGCAGAGCAAGGAGGATAGGAAGAAGCTTGATGGTATGTATGAATGCATTCTGTGCGCCTGTTGTAGTACATCCTGTCCTAGCTACTGGTGGAATCCTGAGTCTTATCTTGGCCCGGCCGCCCTTCTCCATGCCAATAGGTAACTTATGTATATTTTGTATTTTACTGATTTTGGCTGATTTTTATTAGTTAAAAATTGAAATTTTGTGAAATTAACTTTAATATGACGTGAATTCATAAGCAGGGCTTTTATGTTACACACCAATGATATTAGGCCATCTCTAAAATTCATCACCAATCGTTACACCAAAAGTTACACCAAACGAACAATGTTTAACCATTTTCTTTCCTTTTTTTATTCTTTGTAATTTATTTATTTGAAATATTATTTATTTAATTATTTTATAAATTCATAAATTACTAAATAAATAATTACGTTAAATTACGGAAAAGATTAAATTAATTAATAAATATAAAAAACACGGAACAATTAATAAAAACACTACAATAACGAAAATATGAAATCAAATTAGATTATCGTATGTATGTCGTTGTTTAATATATTTTGTGTTAACTTTAATAAATAATCGTGTTTGTTATATTTTAAATTATTTTCGTCTTTTAATTAATTATTATGTCTTACATTTAAAATTTATTTTAAATGCAAATAATAATAATAATAATAATATTAATATTAATAAAAATAATAATAATTTATTGTATTGAAAAATATATATCACAAATGACATAAATACCCTTAAAAAATTTATTTGGGAAATGTTAAATAAGGAGAAAAGAGACATCTTACACTTTACACCATTTTGGTGTGCAAAGTTTGGTGTTGCATTGGAACGACTTTGCACCAAAAAATGGTGCAATGGTTCAACCATTGGAGATGCCCTTAGGAATAGATATATATAGTCTGTTCCTATATGTATTTAAGCAATGGAAGAATATGTTGCAGTTTATGAATAATTATTTAATTCTCTTAATACATTGCTGAAATGGGCGAAATGCATTTATGCTAACTATAATGATAAAGCAAAAAAGAAATTATAATGATAAATTACGTTGGCAAACAGTGGTAAGAGAGGCCCCCTTTTTTTTCCTCTGGATGAGAATGGACAAAAATATAATATCAGTGTTGAGAACTGGTAAAATATAACTTGGTTGAATATAACTCAGTCCATTTGAAATTTGCATGTAGAAAACACACCATGTTTAAGATTTGTTAACATTTAAATCTTGTCAAAGCATATAACTGGAATATTATCTTCTTGATATGTATTAAGCTTGTGTATGGTCTTAGCTTATTGGGGAATTTGAAAAGAGAAGCATATGGATATTGCTACAAGTAAACCTCTGAACCAGAAAATTCGATAAAAAGATAAAGATGCATTTGTTTTAGTTGTATTAGACTAGTTTGAGAATTAGACTGTTGAACCACCAACAAAAATCATTCTTGTGCCTCGGTTGAAGAACCCTGTGATCTCTGGGAAATGGAGTAAAGATAAGAGAATGTATGAAGATGAAGTGGATAATTGCTGTTCAGCTAAGTCCTTTTGGGTTGTCAAGCTGGAGATTAGATGTCTGTGTTAGTGCTACATTTTGTTGTTTTGATATTTCAGTTTTAACTTTTTGCGTCCTATTTAATAAATATGTGTGGTCACCTTTAGAAATGGAAACGAGTCTTAAGGCGTCTTATGAGTACTATGAGAAGTTATGGGAAAGAGTATATTACATCTTTAAAATTGAATGAAATCTGAATGGTGTGATGTGGTTGACATGGATATAATTATTGGACTACTCTTATTCTTTATCCGAAAGAGGAGTTTGAAACTCCCTATTTTGAAATCTTTAGTTGAATAGAAATCAATTTTGAATCCAAATTGAACTGATGTGTGGTATAATTTTAAATTATCATACAGTTTTTTCTTAAAAAATTCCTGATGGTGGCCATTTTCTGATTTTTTATTTTAGGAGGATCTTTATAATATATTGTAAGTCGCAACCATTATTAATGACCAAAAATGACTCTTATTACCTTATACTATGTCGCAAAATAATTCATTGTACATGTCCAACATTTAAGTCCATACCCAAGTTTGACCTGTATACCGAGACCGAGCAAACCAACATTGTGTTTTTATATGTTTTAATTCACTGCTATCTTTCTCCCTCTAAATCTACATGTAACCATGGCGTAGGTTAGACGAGACTGGATTTCCCACTCTTGGAGGAATGTAGATTGTTATGTTTATATTTTACCAAACGGGTTAAATCCACCAATGGCACCGAATTTTATACTTAGCTCCTGTTTGTTTCCTATTCTTTTTATCATTAAATTGAAAAATATGATCGTTATCTATCACATCAAGCCATCAAATTTGAATTTCTATTTCTTGTATGGGTCATAATGACTATATTTTTCATTTTCATTTTTACAAAAATGGGAAACAAACACCTCCTTAGTGTCATCATGGCCACTTAATTTAATTTTATTTCATCATGATCACTCAATTTCATATAATGTTTCACCTTAGCCATACAATTTCATATAATGTTTCACAATAACTACCCCCAACTTCTTTTTACCGTTTTCACTAATTTTAAAAAGGGTAAAACAGTAACTTTGCATTATATATAAAAAATAAAAACTTATTTTATAAAAAAAGTTACTTAAAAAAATAAATAAAATAAATTTTTTTAAAAAAAATGTTTTTAAAAAAAATGTTTTTAAAATTAAAAAAAAAAGTTAATTTTAAAAAGTTAGAAAAAAATAAAAAAACTTATTTTAAAAAGAAAAGTTTTTAAAAAATTATTTTTGTTTTTTTTTTCAAATTTATTTTATATCTATAATATAAAGTTGCCATTTTACCTTTTTAAAATTAGTAAAAATTGTGAAAAGAAGTTGAGTGGCTATGGTGAAACGTTTTATGAAATTAGGTGGCCATGGTAAAATAAAATCAAATTAAGTGGTCATGGTAACACTAAATATAAAGTTGTTTGGCCATGGTGAAACAAAATCAAATTGAGTTGCCATTGTGACATTAAGTATAAAGTTCGGCGACCATTGGTGGATTTAACCCTTTACCAAACTATAACTGGGATTTAGTTATGAGTCTTGTGGCAGGCCAGTGCATGCTTGACAAAAATAGAACACTTCTATAAAATGAAGTAATTACATTTTGGACTTTCAAGAACGTATATAAAATATTTCAGCTGTAATAAATATGGGTTGGCATCTACATTCTACTTAAATGATCTTATGTAGTTGTGTACTTGACTACATGATAGGGTTGATGAAATCCATCTATGCTTTTTCTTAATATCAGCACGAGGTAATGTCCTATGTATTTTTAGCATTCTTCACGCAATGATCTTGTTGCACACATTTGAAGTTGTCTGAAAATGACTTCTCGTTTTTCGTTGAATAGATGATCTCATTTCAAGCTGGCAAGATATTGTAGTGTGAATTGATTGAAGAGGAAACATGAACTGCTTTGTACAGTTGCATGTTCTTTACAACATGTTCTAGAATGTGAAAATCTTCCCAGAACGTGCTTGCTTATAACATGAGATGTTGTGTCGATGGTCGTAGAAATTGAACGTCCATTGTGATTGTAACCCCATTGGCCCATTTGGCCTCCTAATTTAATAGATAATATCAAATGCCTGTGTCAAGTTTATTTGTCAATTTTTTATCCAACCCGCTCTGCCCTCCAAACTTCTGTAGCCAACTACTGAAATAATCACAACGTATATCTCTGATCATATTCTTGTGGAACTTCTGTCGTTCCCTTCTTTGTGGTTCCTCATCTCTGCTAGCCATTTGCTTGCTTTAACTGTCAACATTCAAAGAGGGGGCAAGTCAAAGATGCTAGCTGTCCAATTGTATAGACTTGAATTAGTCCTTATTTATAGTAGAGTGAACAGCAGATATTGGTATATCCATTGCATAACTTTTTATTAATCATTCATACTTGGTTTTTAGTACAATTTGTATTTTGAATTTTTGGAGCCTAATTTTACCCTTCATTTATCCCTTGAATGTGGATCGACCTAATACTAGGCTTGGTGTTTATGTATTAGGTGTTTCTTCTACATACATAAAGGATTATTTGTTGGGGGGT